CAAGGCTTAGCAAGCCTGTGATTTCCTGTAAGCAAAACCTAGGCTTCATTACAATAATATAGGCATCCACAGATTGAGATGGGATTTGAACACAAGATTTGCAACAAATATTAGTCCCACCTTAGTTGCTGGACATGGCACTCAGAGCGGCAATACAGCTCTTGGAGTCCTCAGCTTCCAAGTGCCCAACACTTTAACAAAGTAAATGCAGGCGTAAATGGCCAGAACTACCCAGGTTTCATTACTTGCTGTGTTATGTACTGATGCACCGCAACATCACAGTTACTGTATTTAACAAGTTGGTCCCTTTACAGTTTTTCCAGTGAGATGTAGGTTAATGAAGCAACTTTCTGCCATGGACCCAAGAGGCAGAAACTTCTCTGTAGCTATTAAAAAAGACTCTTGCTTGAAGGATTCATGTTTATAGAATAAAAAAAAAGATCAGAACATGCTCTCTAGTCAAGGAACTCTTCCTATCACAGCTATCTTTTATAAATCATATATATGCTCCCTAAGCTGTGCCCTTCTGGAAATTTTGAGGAAATTTATGGGTGTTAAAAGTCGATGTTCTTAGACATTGTTAGACCCAGAAGAGAGGCAAAATCCAGAACAGAAGACTCTTTCAATTAAATGCTTAAAATGTTCTGGTAACAAACTCCCCCACGTTAAACTAGAAGGCAACTAACTGGGGCATTTCTGACGCTCTCAGATGCTTTGATACTACACAAGCAGAGATCATGTCTAAAATGTACAAGATCCAGCCTACAAAGGCCACTTTGTGCACTGTCTCTCTGACACAAGTTTTATAGCAATTACTTGTAAATTAAGTTCTATTGCATTTACTGTTGGTTTCAGTGGAACCAGGCTTTCATCCATTTCTTATCAGCTTTAGAGTTTCTTTTCTGTTTTCCCGTTTCTGGCATGATCCAGTCCAGAGAGTAGCTGCAATCTGTCTTCTGGTAGTAGGTACTGAATGTATGTTGGGGGGGGCGAGGCGGTGGAAACAACCAGCCTGCCACGTCTTGCAGCCTTAAACCTTTGGTGCAGTACAAGGTTTACAAGATGATTTAAAATCTGCATGTGTAGGAAATAAGGAAGATGGGCTGACTCTACACAGAAAATGGGTTTGGGACAGACTGAGATTGATGGCTTTGTGACAATGACAGTAAAGTTAATAGCTGATACAGGCAGACAACAGACTCCATTTTAAATTTAAAATTGAAGCGTGTGTCGCTGACAGCATCATACTGACCATTCATTGCTAGAGCTAATTTCTCTCTGGTAATGACTACAAGAAGCTGAATAGATAATGATTTGCACTGCAGAACATTTGGGAAATGGGATTAACTGCTTTGCAATTTTTTTTCTTGTTTTAAAAACAACTATTTAATGATTAGTAGAGGTGGCTATCCTTGAACACTCCTGAAGGGTAAAGATTAGTCACTCCTCTGGGAACATCTCTGTCGCCTCTATTTCCTTTCCTCTTAGGAGACAGAAGGGGTGTAAATTGTGCTTGCAACAGACCGGGAAGGCTGACACTGTTAAAATATGAGACCTCGACAAAAACCCTGGAGATGATGTATCACCAGTCTCCTGGGCAGTTGCACTCCACGTTCACATTTGCACACTGCAGATAATTCCTGCCTTTCAACAGCCGGAACCCAAACTTCAAATGCAAATTGTCTTGGAGCTGGAAATGGAAACCTGCATGCACTGAGACAGTTTTTCACATATTGAAACAAAAAGCTGACAAACAAAAAAAGTGAAAAAAAGGGAAAACAAACCCTTCAGTCCTGGGGGAAGGAACTCTTTGCTCTCTATTTCTGTCATTAGTCCCTCCTGTTTATCTACCCTGCTCTTCAGGGAGAGATACCCATCAGTTTTGTACATCTCTACCCATACAAATAGAGATCTTTATTGCCATACCAGTATAGGGTTTATCACCAGAGACTTGACTTTACTATATGTCATGAAAGGCCTTTAAAAAAGTATACAAACCATAATACAAGGGGCTTCTGAAATTTTACACGTGTAGCACATGGAAGCAATCAACTTCAGGAATAAATACTTGTGCCTCAAACCTGAACACAGCCAGCGCACATGCGTGAAGGTGAATGTTGCTGGCTTTATGCTACCAATTTGGGCTCTGTCCCTGTAACAATCTTTTTTTGCTAGGTGCCCTGCTAAAGTGTAGCAAAATGGTAGTAGTACATTGCATAATCTGCACGATAACTGTAGTTCAGAGTATCAGCGGGCTGAAATTTCCACCTGGTTCCTTACTCCTGTCTGTGACATGAGTTTGCACAACTGAAGGACATACTGTTTCTCTGCTTGCTTTTTTGTTCAGCAAAACTAGCTGAATTGTTCGAGTCAAGTTCAAAAGCTCAAATCTGAAAGCTGTATGCTCTTTGCATGAATCAATTCTAACTCCACTCTGGCTTTGTAAAGCTAATTTAAATTATAGTGGTCTCTGCAACTTCATGGAGCTGTAAAATAAATAAATCTAATTGTATTTGGCTTAGCTACCGTGAATCTGCTTATTAGTTTCAAAATGGTACAGTGGGGCTCAGTTTTTATAAAATCTAAGCTACCAAATGATTATGAGGAAAAATTGGGACTGTGGCAATAGTAATTAAACACACGTAAAAACCCATTTTCTTCTCTGTGAGAAAGTGCAATGCCTACATTCTATTTCCATCCCTTACTTCTGTCTTCTGTGATTGCTGGAGGGCACTTTAGATGTGGTTGCTCAGACTGTTTGAGACCTTTAAAAAAAGTTGTTTCCTAGAAAGTAATTAAAACCTCCCGCACTGAACAAAAATGTATGTAACATATGCAAATGCTATAAAAATAGCATGTGGTTTACATAACAATTTCTAATACTACTTCATATCTGAGGCAAAATACGATCACATTTTACACACTTAGATCACTCCTCTGTGTCTGTGCTGGAACAAACGTTCTCCCTCAGTGCAGACTGTGACATGAGCTCACACTGCAACACATGCAAGCACTACAGTTGTTTTTAGTATCAGCCAGGTAAGTAGCATCACATTTCCCATTAGTAAAAGGCTTCCTAAGTTTTACCGAGTCAACAGACAGCAATCAGGTATCAGCTACTACTTCAGCTTTGCAGCAAGATCCCAGGGCAGCTCTTCACTAGGAAATGAACCAAAACTAAGGGTCGGAGGCTGGGGATGTGGGGTGGGGAGGCAGGGAGGGAGAAACAAGGTACTGCTTCATTTCCTTTTCTGCTCCAATCCCTCTAATACCAGTTCCACGAAGGCATGTTAACCTGAAGAGGAATTCCAGCAGCAAATCATCACAAAGAAGCCATGAAAGCCTGTTTAATACTTGAAGGTGGCAACTAGTCCAGGTGCCCTCAGGAGCTCATCATCTGACAAACAGTCATCCGATAAACAGATGCTTTACAACTGTAAAATCTAAAGGTGGAAAAACCAGTCAGGTCAGGTTAGTCCACCTCTTGCTCTACCAATGCAAGATAGGATTTTTTTTTGCCTTTTCCTAATGTGTTTGTCTAGTCTTTTTGTGCTGTTTAAAATTTCCAAGTAACTCAAAAGACATCTTCTAAACTCCTAGGGAAATTAGTATTTTGTATCTTAGCATTAAGATGTTTTCCCTACCCACCCCTCTTCATTGCTGTTTAGTGAAAGAAGTTCCTGCTTACCTTCTTTCACTGTTCTGTACTATAGTCACTCCAAATCACTCTAATTACCTCCCCTTTGCATCTACCCAAGAATTTCTACATTTGAGCCTCACCTTTTGCTTTCACAAGTTATTCTAATGATTATTCATATGGTAGAACATCAGTATTTTTCTCTCACTGTGTTAGTAACACACTGACCCCCAAACTAATGCAGTATTTCATGCAGAATTACTGTATCAGAATTACTGGTCTCAGAGCAAGAGCTCTCATGCTTATACTCCCTACTATGCAATATTTTATCATGCACCCCAAAACGGCAGTGGCTTTTCTTCTCTCACTGCATCCCAATTATCTCTTTAACGCAGGCTTAAAATGTGTTTTCCCAAATCCTCTTTCCTTGCTTCTATTTTATGGCCTGTTCGTGCTCACCTAAGTTTTGATTGTTGCTGTTGTATTTCTTTATATTTTCCCCTTGTTGTTTGAAAGTCTTCCCACTTCAACAATGTATTTCAGTAATGGACTGTCTTCACAACCCTCTTCTTCCCTCTCCAGGACTGTAAATACCACTAAAACCTCTACATGGCTATAAAAACAACTGCATTGCTATCTATTGCTGCTCAGACAACTTTAAAATCACATATCTTTCTTCCTATTTAGGCAAATCTGAATTTATTTTTCAAGCAAGATTTCATGAGAAAGCACACGCAGATCTAGGAAAGGATTTTGTCACAGATGTGTATGTAATTCATTCCTTTTCAGCCACTCATTTTCAACTCTATTCCAGAACACTGCTCTACAGCTTTGCAGTAGGGGCAGTCAGCTCAGAAGGGAAAGTGAGGGCACAAGAAGTCAAAAAGGACCTAGCACATCAGCCCTCCTATAGGATTTAGGCAGAAAAATCACAGAGTTTATACAATCTCAGCAGTGATTAGCAGATATCATCAGCTGTTAGGAACATGTGCAGAAGCAGAACTCCAAGTGATAACGTAGCTTGCAAGTTGAACCTGAAGGCATATGAACTGAGATGCCCCCACAGTTCAGTGGACACATGAAAACATGCCTCTGCTTATTTGCCTCAAATATGCCTATGGTCTTTACTGGGCCTAGTCCAGTGAGAAGTGCTGTAAAACATGCATTCTGCTTCTGACTACATTCACATCAACACAAACACTGTTCCCAGCTTTTAGTAGTGTTATTTGTTGTGTACTGTTGTAACAGAGGTCAGAATGCATCCCTCATGCAACATGAGTAAGAAAAATCCTTAAAATTTATACAGGTTATATTTAACAAGACAAAAGTTTCAGTATATTGCATTTATTTACCTCTTACATTCCAGTTATCCATTACATTTTCTTAAATAAAAACTGGCATTGGTACATGTTTTTCATCAGTTTAATTAATATCCTGTAATACATATCAGCCAGCTTGTTATTTTTATGCATAGAGTAACCTTCCAACTCAGCAAAAAACCTTCTCTTTTAAAGCCCTGATGATCTACCATATCAGTCTTCATTACTATTAAATAAGGAGAGTGAGCAAACTACTAACTTTCTTCCCCAGATATTTTTTTCTACACTGATGTATTTGTAAATTCCTTTATAATTCCCCATTTCCTTTGTTAGCATGAAGTAATTAAACTAATCCATCCTCTGTAAACCTCAGTTGACTCAGTGTCCTTGGGTGTCATTGCATCTTTTTTTGATGTTTTTTCTTAACTTCAGATCTTCAAATCTACATCTGGAGCTTACTGTTTTCCACAGCAGTTGTCAGTCATCCTTCAGCTGTCGTCTTTTTGGCTTGTGCAGCCATCTTGCACATCGATGAAATCTTGGTTCCTATGAGACCAGAATCCTTGTCCTACTCCACCTAAATCCATACTTTAGAGTGATTAATTTAAGTAGCACTTGTGCACAAGTTCCAATTTCTCCACCAGTAAGAAATACTATAATCAGAGCAGTGTTTCTTCTACAGGACAACAAAAACTGTAATGGTTTATTGAAGCACTCTGGATGTGGCCTTGCTGCCTCAATGGAAGACAAGAGGAAAGGTAAACTCCTTGCATCTTTCCTGAACATGGCATAAAACTGCTCCACACTCTTGTCTTTTTATGGAAGAAAAACCTTGGACCTTTGCATACTGCCTAGCAGGCATCTTCTGTGTTGTGACACTGAACCAAACATTCAATATCTATTATATTGTCTACAAAGGTATTGGATTAATGGTTTCATTTTGAGAGCATGTGTTAACTTGGGGTGCTCCCACAAATATGCTATAAAGAATTCAGCATCCTAGCTCCACTGCCTCAAGTCCTCTCTGGGCAAAATACAGCCCTAAGAACCCCAACTCCCTCAAATATTTTTATATTCCAAAAATGGAACCATCCTAGGTTCTGGTATCTGCTCCTGTGACTGTACTTTTATCCAGCTTCTGCTTAATCAGAAATACAGAACTAGTCAATGATATATAAACAAAACATTGAAACGTGTGGTGGTATTGCTTTGCTGGTATTTGTAAATACTTCATTTGGTGCCATTTCATTAACCAGCAGTTAAAGTTCAGTTAGGATTTACTAAAATATTAAATTTCAGCACATGTTGATGCCCAGTAATTCCTTTAGAAGTGTTTCACAGCTGAGGAATTGCCAGTTTTCTTAAAACTGTCATCTTCTTGGTCAAATCCTATACTTATTCATGGATCTGGTAGCATATGAATTATATTCACTACCCTTACTTTCACCTGTGTAAGTCAAAGTGTATGGTTTTGGTCCAACACCTTGCAAAGTTCCTGTTTTGACAGTATTTACTGTGATAATTTACAATTCTGTCAATTTCTGCACTTTGCAATTTAGCTACTGCGCTATCTATTCTGGTAGTGGTTTAAAGCGTTTTCTCCTCTCTCCCAGATGAAAAATTGTAGTATGAACCTTGGCTACTGCTAGCAGCTGCACAGAGTAAGCTAAATATTGTATCGGCCAGACATCTACTTGCAATATTTGCACTCTTATTCACATATTAGGTTACTTCTGCACTGTTTATATGCAATAAAAAAGTCAACAAACTTTAAAGACATTTAGTAAGAATACATAGATAGTATACAGGCAGTAGAGCAGTCCAGACTAATCTCCATTTTCCATAATTGTTCCAAAAATAGAACAAAATACTAATTACTGAGAATTTTACACTCACAATTGAGATGTTGGTGCCATTTCAAAATCCACTTCAAATACTTCTTCTAGGCTGGATGCATGCTTATACATACACTAAACAGAAGGCTGCCACTCTACACCTTGCAAATACAAAAATGCACCTGCATTTTAAAGAAACAAAACAAAATCTCTACTTGCAGTCTTCATCTCCTTTTCAAAAGCTTTGTATATGAAATTGTTATGTCTCTCACAGCTGCAGAAATCCACCATTATTTCTGACCAACAAGGCTGCCATAGTGGTCAATCTACACGGGAAACGAACAGTTCTGCTGCTAGCTTTGCCACTGAGTAAGCTAACCACTCTTCCATTTGTAGTATGGGAGAAAAGAAAGTGACCTTATTTGTAAGGTGTTTTGACATCTACTCACATCTAGGTATTATCATAGTTACGTATCACTTTCAACACTGGGTAAACTAATAAAAATGAACATTTTTCTAACTCTGTTTATTTGCAATTATATGACTCGGCATCCATTCATCTGTTAAGATTTAAAGCCTTCAAAAGGAGAAATAAGAGACAACTATATTGTACCTAATTTCAGGGAAAATTCATATATTGTTAACCAGGTGTGACCAGATCTATTACATGCCAGTGATTTTTACCCGAAGGAGTAGACAAATGGGTTGAAATTATTAAAAACCAAAATAAAAAAGACTGATAGAACAACAAACCAGTATAGCATTTTTTAAACATTTATAATAATTTTAAAACTATATATATCAAATCAGTAAGCATTCAGTATCAAAACTCCATACTATGAAAAGTATATCTTTTAAAAGGATACCATTTAACTGGACTCTTCAGAAGGTTCTGCACAAATCTTTCACACAAAACTATTAAGGAATCTGACTTGGCATGGAATGAGAGTGAAAAGTAATATGCAAGAAGCAAATCATGATGGTCAGTTTTCAACTTGACAAATACTAACAGTAGTGCACCCTACGAATTTGTACTGAAACAGTGTTACTTTACATATTCTTTCATCTGGAAAAAGAGACATATAGTCCACTGGCATCATCTGTGGATAACAAAAATTATTAGGAATATTTTCAGGGCTAATGGAAATTGTAAGGAATACCAGAGGCAGAACAAACAAAGATGAAGGTTGATGATTAACACAAAATAATGAACTGCTCATATACACCAGTTTTCTAGGACTGGCAGTCATAGGGAAAAGATTAATGAGGCATTTATTCAGTGCATTCTGGTAAACAAAACTGAAGTATTCCAACCATACATAATGCTATGGGAATATTACACCATACAATAGCTGGAGCAGTACTCAAGAAATTATAACACATAGTTACAGAAGAAGTTAATGTTGAGGATATATGTATGTAGTCCTCACTTAAAAAGACTTAATTATATCCATAAGGATATAGGGGTAATTTTATGTAGTTTTTGAATTTTGCTCTAATTTATCTCATGTAACATATATCCAGTGACAGGATATGGAATAAAATGAACATATATGGCATAGCAGCTTGTAGTGTATGTCCCCACAACGGGGAAACATACTGCATTGTAATATCTGATCACTTATTTAATATATTATATCACATGTAGCTTACTAGAACAACTTTTCTGTATTGCAACTTCTCCTGTCTGTAGAGGCAGTTTGCATGAATGGCATGCAAACACCTGTTTTTAAAACAGTGTTAACTGTATTATAAAAAATATCCAGAAACACTAAATTTATAAAAACCCCCATTTGCATAGCAATCCAAAATATTACTGTAAGTTACTAAGGCTGTATTATATTCAGCCTAAGCAAATCTCTCTAAGTAAAACCTCTAGGATGAATCTTTTATAAAAACAAAGCCAACACTATTTAAGTTATTACAAAAACCCAACATTTTAATCTTGAAGACTTTTCAAACATTACTGCAATATGGTTGTGGGAAAACATGTTACTTTGAAAGAAATTACATATATCCAAACAAATTTGTATTTTTTCCAGTTTGATTTTCCTTGTTCAGTTCCGCATTGCCAACATGGCATTTATGTCCCAAATAAGATTCCGTAGCTGATCCATGATCTGCTTCAGCTGCTGATTCTTCTGTTTCAGTTTCTGTGGGAAGAGTTTATTAGAAGTTTTTTTGTAATCAGTTCAAATAGTGCACTCAGAAATTCAACAAAAGTTACAGTATTATGAAATGCTATATGGATCTTTTTCTCAGTTGTCTGTGAGCAGTATTAGTGGGATAATACATCCTCTTTAAAGGACACTCTAAAAACACAAGAAAGCTGCAAAAGCTAAGGACCATTGCTAGAGGGGCAATGCTGTTTCTTTTCACAGCAATCTTTTTATCAAAACACTTGATCCCTTCAAAACCTGAAGGCTTGTGGGGATCGGTCCTCTGTTTCCAAAGTCCAAAAGATAGCATTTTAACTAGGAAGAAAGAATTCAGGCAACAAGTAAATTTATGTGAATATATGTTATATAACTTGGGTGCACAGAAAAATGAGGGATTAACAGTAGAAGTTTGAACAAAGCACAAGGTACAGGTGAAGCCAATCGAACTTTTCCAGCCCTTCTGCCTATGTAGGTCAATCCTGATGTGCTAAGGAGTCCTATCTTGAAATAGATATTCCCAAGCATGCTGAATTCTTTAAAATTATGTATTTGTTTTTGTGAACTGCAGAAGCATTTGAAGGAACAGAAGAACAGCAAACTCGCTTTTGTTTGGGTGCGTAACCAGAACCTAAAAATTATGTCTTTACAGAAGAAAGATCAGTGCATTAAGACAACGCACAATCTCCCTAACCTTTCATGTTTCACAATAATACACATATTTATTGTCTGATTTATTCACTTTCCTGGTCAAATCAAAGCTGTCAAGAACTAAGTTACTGTGTATTGTTAACAACAACCGATGTCCTTCATTTCATTCCGATTTGATGTCAGCCTTCTCACATTAGAGATCAAACTACTTATTCATTAGGGAAGTCCACAGTTCCAAGTAAAGTGAAAGCACAGGAAAGACTTGCTACCATCAAAAAAAAGACAAACTATTCAAAATGTTTCAGGTCTGACATAACTTTGTACTTGCACTACACAAATGGCAATACATTAAGAGGGTGACTCAGATCAGTAATACAACCAAAGTAACTGGAACAGTGATAAAAGGAAGCAGCAAAAGAAGCAACATCCTGAAAATGTCTCCTGAATTTTGCTGTGGACAACACACCAATACTTTTAAGTTGCCCAGCTGGTCAGCTGGGAAAGAAGCCCAGGGGAAAAAAAGGAAATCCATTCACTTCAGAGCTGTAAAAATGGTCTGAAGTAATATGGTAATTAGGCTTTGATTACATTGGGAACATAGCACTTTGAGTAAGAGAAATATTCCTGAACAGACTATGGTGGACACATTACCTGGAAGGAGAGACAACTCCCAATTCCAGAGTCCTGAGAATGATGTAAAAACAGATGTAGGACAGTTCATGTGCACTAACTCAGAATTTCTAATCAAGCATTTGACAGACTAAAAAGTATTTTAAAGATAACTATGTGCATTTATCTAATGCTTCTTTCTTTTCCATTTGCTAATGCAAGACTTCACAATACACAGCAGAGATCCAACTCCTGAAGACAAGACAGAAAACTGAGAAGCATGTAGTTACCATAGCATCCAAATGACAGAATTGCAAGTGTCTCCCTACAAAAGCTCATAATGCAAGATCTTGATGCTTGAGAAAGCACAAGAGGCATGAGATAAACAAGCATGTTCACACCTGTGGCATTTTTAAACATTTCTGTTTGCCATCCTCAACATTCAATCTTAGAGAAATCAAGGAATGTTACATCAAAACTACTAGTTTAATGCAAGTTGTCACTCACTGATACTGAGGGCATGCCATTTCATGATTTTTCAAAGCCTTCATCAACAGAAATGAAGGCTGAACAGTCACTGATGGTTATTCACGTCACAGAAAGAACCATTAACCTCTGATATGCAGATTGTGTTCTCTCTCCATCCATGTCTAATTGTACTGTTAAATACTGTTACGTAGGTATGCTCACATGAACTTTACATAAGTTATGCCCAAAAGACTCATTCTGTAAGACTGTTTTCATTTCTTGTGCAAGTGTTATGAAACTGTAAATTGCTTGGTCTTTACTTGATACTAGACAAGGGAACCTTCAAATTGGATTTAATTTGTTTTCAAAGCATCTGTAAAGACAAGAAGTACACACTGTTACTTTATTTATCTGAAAATAATTTTAGATCCTTGTCTTCAGTGAAGAGCTATTTGCTTAGCTCTTCTATTCTACTTTTTCTAGAGACAGAAAAAACATTTAAGATGAAGCAACATCTCTGGACTGCTAGGCTGAAAAAAAAAGAATAGAGAGGGGAAAAAATCCACCTCAGAGAGCATGGTCTCCTAATTGAAATGCATATAGTGATCTTTGTTACTGATCTTTGACAGGCAGTGGTCCATACCATAAAGTACTACATAATTAATACGTTCTGCACCACTGGCAGTGCTGGCCTCTGCTTAAGATTTTCCTGAGCCAGTAACAACATCTCAACTCTGGTCTAACCTTGGAAAGATAGGTGAAAGGGCCTACTCAGGAAACAGGCAAGTTCTGTAAGCAGCTTCTGCAGCAATGACACATTTTCGTTTGAACAGATTGCTTCCAAGTTGTCTCCCACTCTTTCCTCCTTCTACTGAAATGACTTAGTTGAACTCTGGACTGCTTCTTAGGATTAACAGTCATATGAAACAAGAAAACGTACTTCATCCTACATATATACTACAGCTTCTGACTTTATCTGTTTTAAGATAGCACAGGAAAATTACCTTATATGAGGCAGTTTATAACGAATTTAAGAGATCTAAATTCACCTTACATGACAGGCATGTTTCTGTTAGTCCCTCTTTGTCAAGAAAAGTGATCTGACTGGAAACCAATCCTAAGGGGTCTTCTTTGGTGACATTAATTTTCAATGTGACTAATTACCCATTTTGACTAACGCTGCAAGTACTATGGCGAGCACGATGGAGTTGGCAAGGACTGCACCTTCCAGTAACTGAGACCTTAGTAGGCTTAGGTCAGGTAGGATATTTATGAAAACATGTACAGAAGCACAAAATCCACATAAATGAAACTAAGTGGAAGAACCATAACATACATCCAGAAAATAGCTGTGTTTCAAGTAATGTGCCAAAAGTAACTTGACATGTATGCCAGTTTTGGCTGGGATAGAGTTAAATTTCTTCATAGTAGCTAGTATGGGGCTGTGTTTTGGATTTGTGCTGAAAACAGTGTTGGTAATTCAGGGATGTTTTCCTTATTGCTGAGCAGTGCTTACACAGTGACAAGGCCTTTTCAGCTTCTCACCCCACCCCACCAGCGAGTAGGCTGGGGGTGCACAAGGAGTCAGAAGGGGACACAGCTGGGACAGCTGACCCCAACTGACCCAAGGGATATTCCATGCCACATGACATCATGCTCAGACATGACGTCATGCTCAGCATAGAAACCTGGGGGAAGAAGAATGAACGGGGGACGTTCGGAGTGATGGCGTTTGTCTTCCCAAGTAACTGATACATGTGATGGAGCCCTGCCTTCCTGGAGATGGCTGAACACCTGCCTGCCGATGGGAAGCAGTGAATGAATGCTGCCTTTCGCTTTGCTTGCATGCGTGGCTTTTGTTTTACTTATTAAACTGCCTTTATCTCAACCCACGAGTTTTCTCAGTTTTAGTCTTCCGATTCTCTCCCCCATCTCACCGGGGGGCGGGGGGAGGGAGTGAGCAAGTGGCTGTGTGGTGCTTAGTTGCCGGCTTGGAGTTAAACCACAACAACACGTTTCATACAGATTTGGGCTCAGTAGGACACAGTAATTTCAACTTTGACCAAAATCAGTTTTTGACTTAAACTCATATTTTGGTTCACTTTCATTTCATTTGAAATCAGTGCTGTCTAGACCAATCCACAACTTTCTATCAGAGATGTATCAGAACTTTCCTTTGCACACTATTCCTCTCTCTCTCCTCATCTTAAGCTCATCTAGCTTTCACATTTTAAAACTTAAACATCACTATGAGTCATTATTCTGCACTCAATCCATTTGTTAAAATTCCCTTCATCAGGCAAAGATAATAGTGTAAACACTGTGGAAGAGTAAGATTACATCCCAGCTGATGCCTGTAAAAACATCAAAAGTACTTGCCTATGTTGTACAGGCACTTCTGCTTAAGAAAAAAAAAAAAAAAAAGAGACATTTCTATCTTGAAAATCTTATATAAAAGACCGTTCTCCTGAATGCTCTGCCAGCTATAGTTTTTACCTGCTCTGTTCAAGACCTGCAACAGTACAGGGCAGAAGTACATATAAGCGTAATAAAGCACTACATATTAATAGTAGTACCTGTACTTGCATAAATCTCAGCAGAATTAAAACAATTATGTTTACTTTGTTAATTACGACTCTGCTGCAGAGAGGACTTACATCACCTTCTTCTTCACGAACATGTTACTCCTTCTGATGGTTAAACTGCTGTAGGAAGCGATTGTTGAAAGTCTTATCAAGGTGACAATGGCCTCTGCTTTTCCATGTAAGTCAAACCCAAGAAATTTCTAAAGAAACACAGTGTTTGTAATAGGTGAGAAAAAGTAAAGCCTGCCCTGGCAATTTATACTGGTTTTTTTTTAAGTGAGTCCTTCATAATGAAATCTCTAAACTAAGGAGGTGGAAATACCTTCTTTTTTTTTTTTTTCCTTCAGTTTTATAGTCAAAACACTTACAATATTATATGTACACAGCAGGAAAAAAAAAAGATAGAAAAAATGCCTCAACACTTTGCTCAAACTCTCTCAAAGTTGCCAGGTGACTTTCTAACTTATGGCTACTCAAATGATACCAAGGGGGCCACTTTCCATCATAATAAAATCACATATCCATCTATTTATAATATTTTTTTCAAATGGATAAAAAGTATTCATCACTAATACACTAATTGCTGTGCAATTAAATATTAACACACACATTGTTCAATAACTACGGCTTTTCCTGATGTCATTCACAGGCATAACTGTTCTACCCTTACTGGAAATGAGAGAC